GCCTGCTTCCGACGCAGTCCAGTCGGCGAGGGCTGTCGACGACGGGTGGTCTCGATGACTCGGCAGGCTGTCATCTCTGGCATTGCAGTGGACCAGTCTCTCACGGATGCTGATCTTGTGGCTCCATGGGTCAGTGAAGGCTCTGGCGTTTCCGGGATGGCTGGGAATGCTCTCACAGAGGTTGTCGATGAGGGCTCGGCTGGTGCTGAGATCGCTCCAGCAGCTCCTGCCGAGATGGCTGGGCTTTGGACGAGGACTCGTTCTCGTTTGCTCCAGCAGAGACTGCCTCTTCAGGGCCTGGTAGTGCGGAGCCCGAGAGCTCGGCCCCCTCTTCTGGCGCTGTGACGCCTGCTCACGATGCTGAAGACCCCCCATCCGACATAGTGCTTGCTCCATTCGAGATGCTGGTCCAGATCGCGACCAGCGAGCGTTTGGCATCGGAGTAATTAGGTTTTCAAGCATTAATCTAGTGATAATTCTAAATAGTTTCATAATCTGCATTCTCCATATCCCCATATTCCTTTCCGAAATTCGTTCACATCATATACAAACATGTAAAATGCATTTTGGTGCAGTAGATTATTTTGTCTGTGGGCTGCACTTACCCCACAGACAGATCATTTATCGGTCACTTCTAGTCCTCGTCAGCGACTTGGACCATTTGCAACCTTCGGTCACGACGTTTTTCTCTGAGATAGTCATATAATAGACCACCACACGAGAGATTAGATGCGGGTTCCCATGTCGGGTCGTCATAGCCGACCCATTTCACCTTGAACTCTCTGACGGCTCGTTCAGTTCTAGTGGACAGAGGGGTCCTATCGTCTAGTATCGCTTCGACTTCAAATTCACCCGCGACATGATCTGGTTCCCAACTATCCTTTGGGAGTAATTCCTCGTCGAAATCTAGTCGCGTAGCCTCGTTTACGTCTCGTGTCAAACGAGCACTCGGTCGATCTCCAAATTCGTCTACCATCTTTAGTCGTGACACATGCACTACCGGGTGAAATCTGTACCCGCTTCGATCGGGAAGTTCAAGCTCGTAGGCGAACCCTTCTATTTTCCTCTTGACCCTGAACGGTCCATGCCATCGGTGTGCAAGTGTTTTCGTCAATCCTGGCTTCACTCGTTCCATATACAGCCAAATTCGTCTCCCGACCTCAAAAAGAGACCTCGTTGTGCTTGTACCATTGGTGTCCGTGTCCTCGGTCACTGCCCCTGTCGCAGGCCGTTCGTCACCTGGCGTAACGGGTCGGCCTGTTTCTGGGGCTATACCTCTTTCTCGATCCCATTGTGGTTCTTGGCTCTCCGAGCTTTCTCGGTGGCCTGACATTCCTTGGCCATTTTCAATGCTCTTTCTTGCTGACGGTTCACTTCTCGACGCTATGCCAGTGCATCTGACTGTCGACCGAGTCCTCGTTTGAGCGACGAGGACATCGCCTTGAGTGTGGACTGAGCATCCCACCCATGGACGAGGAAAAAGGGTCGTATTTCCTCGTTGTGTCCATTGGGTTGTTGGTCGCAAAGATCAACTTTTCGGCAATCTCGTCCCAGTCTTGTTGCAGTGAATCTTCCGCATACACACGCACTGATTGCATGACAGGTTTAACCGAGCGCTCTTGCTGGCCATTGGCTTGAGACCGATAGCTCAGCGTTGCCCTAGACCTTGATTGCATCATTTCGGTGAACGACTGGAACACTTCGCTCATGGATCGAGGGTCCCTGTCATGCCTGATGAGGGAAGGTGCACCGAACCTCCGGTACACGCATTTTTCAAACGCTTGAGCTACTCTAAGAGCAGTCGTGTCTGCCATAGCCTTGCCAATTACATACCCCGTGAATGCGCATTGGAATAGTAAGAGCGCTGTGTTACCCCGCTGAGACTTCGGTAAGGGTATTACATAATCCATCGAAACAACCTGAAACGGTCGTTCCGCTAGTATGTTCCGCGGAGAGTATCCACGAATCGTTGGTTGGCTTTTGCTTGAGCTACAGTCGGGACAGGACCGCGCGTGCCTCGTCACGTCTGCGTATAGACCGATCCAGTAATAATCCAACTACACTCTGTAGAAAGTCGGAGCAATCCATTGATGGCCTCCTTCTAACGAGTCGTGACAGTTCTGTAGTACATCTTGAATCATCGTTGAGGGTACTACTAGACGCAGCATCGTGTTTTCTTGTTGTTGTTCACTCTTCAGAGGCCTCGTTCCCACATAGTAAAGCACATTGTCCTCACTCAGGACGAAGTGATCGGACATTTTCCACGCGTCTCTCGCTGCACGGTACGTTAGGGTTGATTCTTCCCCGCGGAGAACTATCGTCAAATTCGGCCACCGTAACTACTCGTCCTGAGCAGTTGCGATCCTTTTTTGACGTTCTCTTAGGATCCACGCCTTCCGCGTCAGGCAACGCGGGGGTATCACCGTTGGGTGCCGTTACTCTTGAAAACTCTGCTTCCAGACGGACCGAGTCCTCTGTTGGCACACCGTTGGCTTCCTCCCGTTGTGTTACGTCTTCTCCACCTGTCACCGAGGTTTCGTCGGCAAATCTTACGCGTTTAGGCTTCGTCTTAGCTTGGAGTCTGGTCGTTACCATTAGGTCACCTATGTCCCTTCGCACAAAATCGAAGAAATTTTTTCGACGCGGCTCCAGGACGGTTCCGGATCGCTGTGACGGTTCCATGTGTCGCAAATGTCGCGTCTGAACTTGTGCTTGTGCAATGCTAACCGAGGGTTCGTCCGCCGAAGACTCCGTGATGGGTGCATAAATGACCTCTTGAATGCGGTTCAATGACCTCAACTCTGCTAGCCTAGGCTCGTCGGATGTAACGCTTGACGACTTGTTTTCCAATGCTTCCGTTGCTAGCGAGTCGGCCGACGCGTTATATTCTCGCACCGCGTGTAGGTACTTGACTGACTTTAGTCGTGCAACGAGTTCTCGTTGGCGATTGAGTTGGGTCATCAGCGACTCCTTCTTACACGCAATCACCCCTAG